ACACACACACACACACACACACACACACACACACACACTCATATACACTAACTACATACATACACAGAAGAAGACATTTCAGTTGTGTATTCTGAAATGTTCCTTCCATCTAAACAAAGGAAAGTAATTATTGTATAGTATAGTTGCCTGTTCTATGGTAACTTTTGTCTTGTAAATGGTTTTGAACTTACATCACTTTTTCGAGTGGGGAGGTGACACTGAGGAGCCAACCTGGCACCTTGTGCATGCTAAGTAGGCATTACTTTTCATTTTGAGTTTTTGTATATTTGGTACATTATACAATCTTTGAATTCAGAGACTGTCTTTCTCACTTTTCTATGTGGAACTATGAGCACAATGTTGAACGTGTCTTGTAAGTTTTGGACAGGTAAATAACATATTATCCTGTTAAAAGCTACAATGGTATTTATGTGATACTACATTAGAGACTCCTCATAAAACCCCACCTGACACACTGGGAACTTCTAAATGTCTTAACTAAGTGCTGGAAAATACAAAAAAGAAAAAAGAAAAAGAACTGAGGTTCTCAAGAAGAGGGAAAGAGATCATGAAGCTCTTTTCTCAGACACCTCAAACAGGATGCCTTTAAAACCAAACTCTTCACCACCCCAGTGTGTTCATGTCCCAGCTTCTGCTAAATTACTGTAAGCCATGGAGGCAATCAATGAAAGGATTTATTCTCACTTTCCATTTCATGTCTACTCAGTTAGCATGCCTGCCATGTCCTATGTGTGTGGAAAGACCACTTCATTCTGTCAGTTCCCACTGTTGTAGTTCAGTTCTGTCTCTGGTCTGTGCTATCCACTAAAACAGCCTCTTAACTGTGCTTATGCAGTCACTGCCAAACAGGTCCTCCATTTCTAGCTCTAGTACCCACCTAAATTGCCAGGATAGCCATGTTTCTTTCCACCTGAGGTGCTTCAGTTCTTCTAGGGCAAAGTGTAGACTCCTAAACACAAAGCTGAGAGTCTCCATAGCTGATCTAATAACACTCTCATTCCACTGCCAATCTAACCACAGGTGACTGACTTTTTTTTTAATCATTATGGTCTGGGTACAAGAAAGCTTCCTCAAACATTTAACAAAGCTTTGTGACCTCTTCTCTCTTCTTGTATTACTTCCTCTGCATAAATCACTTTTCAGGCCTCTTTCATCCTGCTCACTTTCACTATATTCA